GGTTTTCCCACAGCCGTGCCGGTGGGTCCCCCCGGCCCCGGTGCGGGACTTGCTCTCGCTCACGTTTGCTCAGCTGCTGCCCGTGCCGGTGCGGGAGACGGGAAGGCGCCAGCCCCCGTGCGTTACGCAGTCCCGTGTGCCGTCTGTGTGCCGCTGTCACCGCTGCCCGTGCACCATCCCAGCACTCTGTAAATAGCCGTCACCAAGGGAACAAGCTTATTCCGGGGGGGGAAAGAGCTGGGAATAAAGGTTGTGACTCACGTGTCGTCATGTGCGACTGGATCATTTTGGGTGGTGGGCTGGAAATGGCTGGGGCCCGTCCCGGCGTGGACGGCTCAGGCTGGTGCTGGGTGGGTGAGCAGCTGATCCGGCGTGAAGTCCCCGTTCCCCACCGCCTGGCCGGGCTGTCGGCCCGCCGGGGAAGGGCGCTGACTCGGTCTCGTTTCCCCCACCACGTGCTGCAGGCAAAGTGGCTTCACGGCACTGAAATGCCTCTTCTTTGGCACAGCAGCTCCCATGTCACCATCAACCCATTTGCGCAGGTGGGCTGGGTTTTAAGCCGGCAGCTGAGGCCAGCTGTGTTCGCTGCACTAAGGCCCTGCTCTTCCTGTGCCAGCTGTGAACACAGCTGCAATCGGGGGTGGGGGGGAATCCAGCATGGAAACAGAAAATCAGAAATTAGCCCCAAAGGCCAGTGAGGCATCTGTCATGTCAGCAAGTGCCCACAGGCTCCGAAGTGCTGCAGGGAAGTCTACGCTCTTGCGCATAGCCTCAAGTAGCCGCAGCTCTTAGTTACCCTGTTCTCATTTTCAGCACGTGTGCTTGCTCGCTCGCTCTCTCGCTCGAATTTTTATTCTCAGACAAGGGATATTATATCTTAATTGGAATGTTATTTGGCTTGCCTTAAGTAGTTTGATTGAATTCCACAGATGCCTCTGGACTTTGAAAAATAGGGTCAAGTCAGCAGGAGGTGAATCCAGGTTCTTTTTAAAAAAAAAAAAAAATTGGGCATTTTTTAGGCACTATGATCCTTGACATGGTGTGTCTGGTTTAGAAGTAAGATAATACAGGTGTATAGGTCAGCCATGACATTTTAACGACAACACAGAGAGGCAGATTAGGAAGTGGAAGAAAAAAACCAAGTTACGTTAAAGGGGGTCATCAAGAAGCTCTTCCATTCCTCAATAGCTAATGCAAATAGATACCTACCTTACTCCCCTCAACTACTTCTAAGCCAGAGAAAGTTTAAGCCCTACAGGAAGATTTGAAAGGAGGCTATCTCATGGGTGCCTCAGAAGGTATCAGAAGAGATGCAAGGCTGAAGAAGCCTTAGAAAGGATACAAATAATTGGAAGGGACCCAAAGTTCTCAATTTCTACATCTCTCCGTTGTCGTGCTCCTTAATGTCCGGCTATGTGCCACGATACCCACGTCAGGGTTGTAGTACGAAGTCATGCTGATGCCTCCAAACAACCCAAAATACCTCTCAGTCTTTCTATCCGTCAGCACGCCTTTTCAGTGACGGTGGGGCAAACAGCTCCCTGGGGTGCAAGTCGTCTGCTTGGCGTGACTGTGACCCATCATTAGCGCTGAGGAGCGCGCTGCCTCCAAGAGCCCTGAGACCATTCGCGGTGCCTGGAGCTGACAGAGAGCACAGCATCTGCTCTCCACAGGGGCACTGGAGGTGCTGTCTCTAGCTGCCAGGGGTCTACGGTCTGGGAAACGGGCACTAAATGCATAGATTTAACGATTGACGTACCAACCTGCCATCATACACAATCGCAACTCCACAGCCCTCTGACTCCCTAGCAGTGAATACCGCAGCCTGCTGCTCCTGCTTCACTTCTGCTCCTGTCTCTCCATACACTCACTGCCATCCTCCTTTCCGCCATGGTCTGAACGGCAGCAACAGCAGCAGCAAACCATATCCTCCCCAGATGCCATCAAAGGTCAGGCAACTGGATATGCAAAAGGGAAGGGGCAACAGCCCCTTTTTCAAGAAAGATGCTGTAAGAAAGTCAGAACACGTGACAGGGGCTGTGGAGACAAAGAGGCAAGAAAAGGAAATCAAAGACATGTCAAAGAAAACCCCACAAGTCATCAATAGGAAAAGATTTTCCATTTAATACTAGACTCTCTCAGGATTGAGATGCAGGCTTTTTATGCAATTACATCCAATGTTAAAATTGGTAATACATAATTTACAAAGATTAACATCAAAACAATGATCTATTTAGATATGCTTTGTAAAAAGGAAATATATTAGCAGCATTTATTTTCAGCAATCACACAGCCTACACCCATGCAGACTAAGAGTTCATATCTATTTGCAATAATGTAGTGCTTCCTGGTCTTAAAACAGCGATCCTGGTGACACACTGGTCTTCTCATTATTATAAAATAACCGAAAAATAAAAAAAGTCATTAATTTCTACACCAGTAAGAAAAACAAGTCTTTGCACTTACCTAACATTTGATTGTCTAAAAAACATTTTGTTTAGTCTTTCAACAAAAGAAAGATAAAATGACAGAGCTAGTGTCTCGCTTCTGTACGCACTTTATTTTTTAAAAAGTTTTTAGTGTTTAACACCATTTGAGACAATGATTTCTGTTTTAAACTAAATGAGACAACTCAAGATTTTGGACATGCGATATTCCTACTACACGCACGAGTATTTTATACTCAGGGTTCCTGGTACTGTACAGTGCTTCTCTACAGTAAGAAAATATTCCAAACTATTTTCTTATTTCTTTTTTTTTTAATAAAATATTTTTTCTCAAAGGGTTTTTTCCTTTCTTTTTTTTCTTTTTAAATCAACACATAAAAGTTAATGGAATGAGTCATGTTCCACTAAGAGTAAAATAATTATAATAATAACAAGAATGTACATTAGGACAAGCTTGGTCCATTAAAAAGGAACATGTAACTACTGTATTGCTTTACATCCACGCAGCAGATATATACAACTTGGCACATTAAAAACTGTTTTTTCTTATAAGAACATCTAAAACAGGACTGTATATGCATATGTACGTCTGAAAGACAAAAAAGCAAAGCCATTTTAAAGGGGCAGTGTACTACCCCCTCCCTTTGCCACTACCTGGGACTGACCCAGAGAAAGGAGACAGCTTCGCGGCTTCATATACTGGGGAAGGTTATACGTCGCAATACCGGGGGTCCTGCTACAGCACTAGTTTATGGTACATCATGGCAATCACAATTTCATGCGGTGAGAAACCAGCGCCTTGGCTGTTGCTTTTGGGAATAATACTTTTCCTCAGGGCAGAGAGAGGGAGGGGCAAAATACACTGTCTCTTTAAGAGACGGACATTTTAAGCTGTACAATCAGAACACAAGAATAGTGTTAGCAGTTGATATATTCTACAGTTCACAACAAATACTCGCTTTGAATACTGCTTGACGGTTCATGTAGTGAAGGTTTCCTTTTTTCTTTTTTTTTTTCTTTTTTCTTTTAACAGATTTTAATTTGCACAACACACTAGACACACAAGAACCACAGCTTATCAAAAAAACCAACAGCAATGGTGTTGTCAGGATTTGACTTGCTTTATAAAAGTTGTCTGCAGAAAAAAGTGAAAAAAATCACACCCCATCCCTCCCCCCTCCTAGACGCAGAACAAGTGCCTCAACCAACCAACTCTTCCTTACGCCAAGGTGACTGGGAAAATTTCTCCTCGCCACAGATCCAAGGTACATCTGTGCACGGGCCGGTCCACGGTGAACCTTTTGCACATTCTGGTACGTTTCTCTCTTCTTGGAACTTGTGCAAATCAGAGGCCACAACTTTAGGGCAGCCTTTATTTTTAAGCCACTGGGCCTTCACCCTCCCGTTTGGATTTCATTCACTGGCACGGGCCGTGGCGGTGCCAACAGTATCTTGTACAATCACAGGTTACTTGGTGAACATGGGGAATATCCTCATCAGAGTAAGTCAGTCCTTATCCTTCTTTACCTCCCCAGTTTTTCCTCTGAGTGGGAACAAAAATAAATTAAATTTGACCATCCTGGACAAATAACCACGAGGTTTTTCTCAGTACCTAACATCAATACAAGGCACGCCCAACAACACACACACCATAAGAGCACTGCAGAGCAGGGCAGGGCCACCTGCCAGCCCGGACATCTAAGTGCTAACTGTTTGTATATTTGTCAGTTTTCTTCTGCCGCCTTTTCCTTGGCTGGTGCACAGGAGTTGGGCTCCTGCCCTCAGTCCGTAGCAGACCTTTAGTGGACTCCAGACCACAACTTCCCCTCGTGGCATCACTTCCTGAAGCTGCTCTCCGGGATGGCGAGAGTGCGCCTCCTCAGTTTTCTTCCTGATCCTTCTTCCAGCAAGTAAGTGACATCAATAGCTGCAACAGACCACAGGCTTTTGATAAAAGAAGATGACACTACTAACAGTTTTCACAAGTCTTTCAAAGATGATTCCATCCGCAGCAACACTCACAACTCGACTGGACAACGTCCTGAGCAACCTGATCTAAGTCACTCCTGCTTTGAGTAAGGGGAGGATATTTGGACTAGATAACTTCCAAAGATCCTTCCAACCTAAATTATTCTATGAGTCTACAACTATTTTGCATTAACTCCCAGAACATGAACATGAAGCAGAAATGTGAACTACTGCTCTGAATGCAGCTCATTCTAGGTTTTAATTCTGCCTGTTACCTAAACTGTCTTTAGATTTGTCTAAGAAAAGTGTCGTAGCATGAGCATATATACACAAATCAGTTTGTGTGAAGTCTGTGCCAGCAACTGTAGCACAAGCTCTTTGAGCACCCTGGAGGGCTGAAAGGATGAGCTGTACTAAAATCTGGGCTGCTCCATCACAGCTCTATCACAGCTACTAAGGACAGTGCAGTTAAAGGTAACAACCAGTGCAACCACCGCAGCCTCATTTAATAGTTCAGACAATCCCTACTGATGTTACTTAGAACCCGATTCTTTCCAAATTCTCTTCAGTCTTTGTTTGCCCATTAAGTTTCTCAGTTGTAAAAAGGGCATGATGGGAAATATTTGTCTTGAGAAAGTCTTTGCGATTGCTAAAAATATTATCTAAAATATGGCATCTATAGTAAGAAATCTCATTCAAATTTAGTGCAAACTGCAACTGTTGCAAAGGAAAACATTAGCGTGGAGAAAACTAATTATTAACAACGTCCACTATCAATGCAGTCAGATAAAAGCATTTATTTTATCAACATGGTCTGCATCAAACTAAAAACAAAGACATGCTATTGTGTAACCATAGCATAAAGTCTCACCATTTTTCCCTGGGATTTTCTCTAAGAGGTTTAGCAGAATTTGATTAAGTCTCTCTCTCTGCATATGCCGCCTTTCCTCTGGAGTGCACAGCTGCCTTGTGACAGAATTACTCTCTTCCACCTTTTTATCAGTTTCACACGTCTCACTAGAGACTGCCTCTTTTTCTGGCTCTTCTAGGCTAGGCATCTCACTTGAAGTCTGCTCTTGGTTTCCTAATACATCCTCAATAAGTGGAAGAGAATCTTCTTCTTGGTTTAAGTCTTTGATCTGTGGTTTTGAGCGATCTGTTTTCCAGGATGATCTAGCAGGAAAAGAAGGGTTTAAATACCACAGTTTTTCAGACACTCACCTGAAAGGCCAACTATCAGTGAGTCAAGGATTCCTCAACAGGTAGGAGACTTCCGAAATCTC